TGATGATCTCTTTTCAAGTGAGCGTGAGCTCATTATTGCGCGAGCCGCCTTTTCGTAGGATGAACATGACCCCTTGGTTGTCCACGCGAACCAACGTGTGGCCGTGTCGAAGACGGTCCATGAAGGTGCGTAGCGCCCAAAGCACGCCTTCCAACTCGCGTCGCGTACTTGAGGTTGGCCACAGGTTGTCGGGCATGCCAGCGCTTGCGTTGCTCGGTGTTCCGTGAAAAGTAGAGAGGGTGGCACCCCAGCTGTGCGCGCTGGCATCCACCTGGATTATGGCGTCGTAGTGATGCGGATGATGGAATGGTGCACCGTTGAAACGGTCGAACTGTTCCACCCAGAAGTGCAGTTCGTGGATGGCCTCAGTTGACAACGACACATTCGAGCGCGTTGTTGATAAGTTGCAATAGCTCGTGGCTGAAGGCTCGCGCGGTTGCGCCCAAAGCGAGGCTCATGGAAGCAAGCATTCCGGTCACTCGAGCGATTTGACGAACGTTCACGTGGTGACCAGCGCGTCCGGAATCGATGAGACTTGTGATTGTCGCTCGTAACAGGGAGCGCCGTTCTTCTCCGACCGAGAATTTGCCGACTTGTGTGTTCAACTCGAGTCCGAGGAAGCGAAGCTCCTGTGTGGGGAACATACGCGACTTTTTCTCGTTGATTACAATGCCGGCGTCCCTCAGGTCCCTGACGATCTGTGCGCATGCGGCTCCCGCTTGTTGTGCGGTCTCTGCCAGGATCAGTATATCATCCACATACGGGATAACCCGCCACCCGAGAGATCGCCATCGTCGGGCCAGCTGTTTGATGAGTTGCGTGAAGATGAAAGGGGCCGTGGCCAGACCGAATGGCGGGGATTGGAAGAAGTAGTAGTTGCCTTCGAACTGGAATCCTAAGTACTTCCAGCAGGTGGGATGGATGTCCACGTGATAATACCCTGACTTGAGATCAACCGTTAGCATCCAATCGTTCGGTTGGATCAACTCCGCTACCCGGGCGAGGCCTTCGTACTTGAATTTAGGAATGCACAAGTGCTCGTTGACCTTCCGCAGGTCGAGGATGAGCCGACATTTTTCTCGTTGTTCGACCACGTTGAGTGGGCTAATGCATAGTAGTGTTGATCGGTCGGGAGCTTTTGCCGCTGCTCCTGTTCGCAGGAGGTCCTAAATGGCATCGCGTGTGAAATCCGAATGCGTCTGGGCGCCTGCGTGGTTTTTCCTTTCGAAAGGTGTCGGGGGCCCATCCTTCCATGGGAACCAATATCCGTGTGAGATAATAGACAGGATGAGGCTACTATCGCACCAGGAGCGCCACCAGTGTAGTGCTTGGTTGAGCCGTCCTCGCATTATAAACACTGTCTTGTCGGTTATCGCGTATTCGTATGTTGAGAGCGTCGTCCCGATCCAACGGTTGTCAATTTTTGCATGGGGTTTTCATGCACAATCGGCTATCCCACAACATTAGCGCGTGCATGAGCAGTTGAGTAACAGCGGACCGCGCTCTTGGGCGTCGTGTCTTTGCACGAGTGCAACCACGTGTGTAGATGTGCGTGTGCCTTGTGTTAAGTGTGTTGGTGTGTGCGTGCCTGTGTGTGTGTATGTGTGTGTATGTGCGTGTGGGAGTATGTGTGTGTGTCCGAGTGTGTGGGTGGGTGTGCATGTGGGTGCGTATATGTGTGCATGTGAGTGTGTCTCTCTCTCTCTCTCTCTCTCTCTCTCTCTCTCTCTCTCTCTCTTTCTCTCTACCTTTATGGGCGTGACATGCCCTTGTGCTCCGTGAACTGCCTCGAGACCGACCGTCGTGTGGTCTGGCCTTCGTGGTGGGTTTGAAAGACTTGCCCCGTGTACACTCACACGTATCCACGCACGTGGGCGAGTTGCGGTTGCATGATTCCTACCTTGAGTTTTTTTTTTTTTTTTTTTGCATTGCACGGCTCGGCTTGCACCTAGAGGGGTGCAGTTCAGGAGCCAAATGTTCTATGCAATGTGGAGCCCGAGAAAAAACAAGAGAGGGAGACAACGCTTTTTCTCTTGCTCTCTCGCCCTCTTCTCTCTCTCTCTTTCCCTTTCTCTCTCTCTCTCTCTCTCTCTCTCTCTCTCTCTCTCTCTCTCTCTCTCTCTCTCTCTCTCTCTCTCTCTTTGTTTTTAAGACGTGTGTGTTAACAACCACACAGTGCACAACCCTCCATGTTGTTTCTTGGGTCCTCCTGGACCTTGATGGGTCTCTTGATGCGTGATGCGGCTCGCGCGTCCTTTGATTTCGTATTAAGGTGTATGATCATTGGCTCGATTTTTTTTTTTTCACCTTTTTTTTTTCTTCTTCTTCTTCTTCTTTGCTTTGCACTGGTTGTTTGCTGGTTGCCCACATCATAGTGCAGCCCATCCTTGAGCCCAAGGTACCAAATTGGACTAAAAACAACAAACACTTCCGTAGGCAACTTATCATTCCATAATAATCATTTCTTGCAAAAGTACACAATGCACCAATAGCTAATGGCCCCTAGGGCTCCTCCTTGGGCCCCCTGGCCCTTAGTTCCTTAGGCTGCTCCTCAGCCTTGCACCCCCTGGTGCAGCCCCGTTATGTCCCTTTGACATAAGGGGCAAGGGCTCCGCCCTTTGGTCCCTCACACCACGGGTGTGGGACCTTGGCCTCCACGCCCCCCCATGGGGCAGGTGTTCGCCATGTGGCCTGGCTGGCCGCAGCGAAAACAGGTGCCCTTGAAGGTCCTTTCCTGGCAAGAGCCTTGCCCGGAGCCTTTGTTGCCGAGTTCGCCGGCGTTGAGGCCACCCCCGCGGGTGGGACGGTTGTAGGTCATACGAGCGCGCTTTGACGCGGCCACGTCGGCCACGGCCAGCTTGTACGAACGGGAGGTCAGCACACTCTTGGACTGGCAGAGCTGGAAGCGATTGGCCGCCTCGAAGCCCGCCTCGTCCGCCACCAAGAGCACCTCAACTCGCTTGTTAATGAGCGACTCGATTTGAGAAATGTTGGTGCGAGCGCCTTCCGCGTCGCCTTGCTGGAGCTTGAACTCAATGTGCCTGAGGTGGGCCATCAGCGTCGTCTGACTCGTCGCTGTCATCTTCGACAGGAGCGGGGGCCGGGTCCTTCTCGATGCGGGCAGTCTTGGGAGGGCGCGGTGCGACGGCGGGAGCTTCTTCTTTCTTCTTATCATATTTTGCAGAAGTTGTAGCGTCCTCATTTTTTGAAGTCCCCGCCGTAATAGGCGCGTGCTGCTGTAACAGCGCCAGTAGTGGTTGGAGTTGCGCCGGGTTGAACAGGGGGGTGGGCTCGGTCGTGGCTGGCGTGTGGCTCGAGGGTGCTGGCGCGTGCTGCTTGACACGCGCGCCTGAGGGGCTCGAGGTGGTGGTCAAGACAGCCGCGTCAGCGGTTGTCTTTTTCGCCACTTCGCGCGGCTGCCTGGAAGCCGCGCGAGGGGCGGAAGGCTCCTCGGAAGGCGCCAGGGAGCCTCCGCCCAGCAGGACCTCGACGCCAGTGGCGAGGTCCTCGCGTGACTCCCCGGCAGCCCGTTTCGGGCGACGGGCGGTTGTCCCGGGCAGAATGGTTGCGTTCGCGGCGACGGGAGTGTCTGTCGCCTTGTTGCCCTCGCGATTAGCAGTGTTGTTCGCCGGCGCCATGGCTCCGATGTTGTACTTAAAAATATCCGCAAGTAGAGTCGTCGGGGCGGTGAAGCGAGGGAGGGACTGCGTCTTCGCCAGACTGGACGAGATTGAAAAACTCAAACTTCGAAATTGAAAAGAAGAACGTGGGTGAGACCGAATGGCCTCAACCCCCTCTTTTGTAGCCAAAAGAGGGCGAGTAGCGATGCGACGCTGCCTTTGCTGCGTTGGCAATCGCTACACTTTCACAATACACAATTTTGAAAAGTGTTACACACTTTTAAAAATTTACATATCTACAAAGGGTCCCAATTCCGGCTTGCCCTGGCAATCGTCGCTGCCTGCAAAAAACTCACTTATGAATAATTGATTGATTTTGTAGCGGCCATGGGTGAACAGCATACAGGTTAACTATTGGTATCTGGTACAACACACCACTTAGATTATAGATACACATTGGTGTGCTGCTATCTGTTGGGCTGAAAAAGGCCCTTCAGAACTTTCAGGACTAAGATCGGGTGTTGACGTAGAGATGTAATAGCGGAAGCGTTTAATGAAGAATTACTTGAACCACCTTGTACTGGTGTGTGAGAACAAGATAAGTTGATAATAGCAGAGAAGTACAAGGCTTTTATATAGTTACAAAGGAATATGGAAAGTTCTATTTTAACTGTTTTTGCTGTTGCGGTTCGATACAGTGCCGACTCGTGTAACTGCTCCGTAACGAGTCAGTTATGTGTTCTTGCTGTCGCACTGTACGTTTCGTCAGGTCAAAGGTCGGAGACCTTTGACCTTCGCGCAACCTCCGACGGTTGCCTTGGTTGACTCGAGTGCTTCTTCGCTGTAGTCAGTTCCGTTTTGTGTCGAAGCTTCGATACGACAGAAGCGTTATAAATCACTTGTTTCCAACACTATCTTTAGTGACAAACTCAAAGAAAGTCATAATATTGACTCCAAACAAACACGCATAAATCACATTACAATCACGATTTGACATGGAAAATCAGGGGTAGGAAGACTGGCAAGTCAGCTGGTGATGTCCCCAGATGCCTTGCCTTGCCAGCATTCCTGCACCTGATGCTCTAATTTGACCTATTTTAGCTACTCACATGGCTAAGAGGCCCACAAGCCCCTCACAACCATGACTGCAGCAACCCCCAGCTGCTGCAGCAACCCCCAGCTGCAACAGCAACACCTTGCATGTGCGTGTTCACCGTGGAAACACCAAGCTGACAGCACACCTATCCTCAAAGCAGTGATGAATCAAGCAGCAGCCCCTAGTTCCTGCACCAGGCTGGGTTCAAATCCCCAAACCTTGTCAGCCATCGCCGTATCACATAGCAGCAACAGCAGCAGGCGGAGCAGGACGGCAGTTAAGCATTAAACAGCAGCAGCGGGCATCTTGGCCCCCATGAGCTGCCCGCCCCACGTCACACCTACTGCGCTGCTGCCCGCCAGCACAGCATAGCCGCTCACTGTGCTGTTCACTCCGCCATCACCACCTGAAAATTCACCTGCGGGCGGCTGCTGCGCTCCCCCTTGCTGCTTTCCCCCCTGATTCTGCCCCCCTTGCCTAGCAGCGCGGCCCACTGCGCGCATCAGCAGCTCCCGCCCCATGCGCCTCCCACCCTGCCCGCTCCGCGCGCCCCCCGCGCTGCCTCCGCCGTTGCGCCCGCCGCCACTCGTGCGCGGAAGCGAGGCGTTGGGGAGCACCGCGAGCAACGCGTCGAGAGTTGCGGCGTCCGCGTTCTCGAGGAACGCGTCGAGGTGCGCCTCCGCATGCAGCAGCCACCACCCCGCGCGCTGCTGCCAGTCCGCCGCGGCGAGCGGCAGCGCGAGGACGTCCGTCGCGGCGGCGTCGCACACGGCGCCCTTCACGATCGCGAGCGAGTCGGGCGGACTGCCCGCCGCGTCGACCAGGAGCGCCTGGACGAGGAGGTTGTAATTGCCGGTGGCGTTCCTGGAGAGGGGCGCGGGGACGAAGGGGAGGGGAAGTGGAGAGGGGAGGAAAAGTGGGGAGGGGAGGGGATGGGAGCAAGACGCAATGAGCTCGAGGATCAGAATATGCCGAGTGCCGCACATTTTAATCTAGGAAGTCAAGTGGAGGGGTTCGTGCGGAAGCCAATCCTACTATACTAACTCCGCCGACTAGCGACTGAGAACGGATGAGGGAAGCGCACAGGGAATTTAGGGTTTCCTCGCGTGACATGCGACAGAAAATAAAGCACCGGAGCCTACTTGAAGATGGCGAGGTGGAAGCGGCCGTCAACGATCGTCTGATCCGCGGAGCAGTTGGCCAATTGCGCGCCAACATCGGCCGTCAGATTCCCGACGGCCGTCAGGTTCAGCGGAGACCCGTGCGGCGGCTTCCCGCCAGGCCCGCCAGGACTGCTGGGACCGCCGGGACCGCCGGAACCGGCGCCAGGGCCTCCGCGCGCGCCCCCACGTCCCTGACCGCCGGGAGGACCTCCGCCAGGCGGACCACGCTGCGCCAAGGCGGATGCCGACACAAGGAGGAGGATGCACGCGAGGAAGAGTGCTCTAAATGCCATGGCTGATGTCGTGCTGCGATCGACGAAGTGTCGGGAGATGGTTTCCTGCTGTTCTCGCTGCTCTGGTTTGCGGCCTGGAGCTTGGGTGAAGAACGTGTAGGATGAAACGGAAGGTTGTGGGTGAGTGACTGAAATGCCAGGAGAGCTGGTTACTTTTTTAGGCTAGGCGAGGCGAGTCAAACTCAGGCGTTAGATTTTGGTGGAACACGCAAGACGCGAGTCTAAGCCGCGAAAGGCTTGGGCTTCAGGTTTGGAAACCTACAAAGCCGTGGTTTGATTGGGTAGTCGCAAAGCTTCGAGTCAACCAGACCATTTGGGAAGGCTCGTTCGTGCCAAGAGTTGAAATGTGCGACGTGATTCAACGCGTCAATCTGCGCGAATGGAAAGCCAGGCAGGCTTTTACCATTGGCATATTAGCTGGTGCAATTCTGTGGTTTCTGTACAATATGAAACGTAGATTTGTTTTAATACTAAGGTTACTCACCATCCTCTGCCACATATTCGAATTGATGCTACTTGTTGAACACATTTTGTTGCTTTATGTTACTTAACATGAAAATTCTATAACGAGGAAGGGCCTTCACATCACTACTTCCTACAAATCAAGCACACAACAAATACGCCAACAATCAGCTCCGGTCAATCATGGCAAACTACTATCCCCCACCACATCATCCCTCGCCTCTTCACCTCCTGCTGGTGGACGCATACGCAGTGGCAGTATGTGTATCATCATCCCCCCTGCGGCCGCTCCCACTGCTGCCTGCACTGTCGGTCCTAGGCCAAGGATTAGGAGCCCTTGAGCCCTCATAACCACGCTGCTGGTACTGCTGATGAGGAGGGGCTGTGGGTCTCCTCCGGCCGAACAGGTACCCCAGACCAAAGCCTGTGGCTGCCGAGGCCCATGTGGGCACTGGCTGAGGGGGTGGAGGGGCCGTTGCACTAAAGCTGACATACAGGGTGGAGGCAGGGGGGCGGGGGGCAGGGTTGGGTGGGGAGGGAGGAGAATAGGACGAAACGAAGAGCAGATTGAGAAAGGAGAGAAACAAGAGGTCGTTGTAAAAACAGGAGGAGCATATACAGAAATTTGAGAAGGGAAGGAACCAGAGAGCGGTATGTTATGAGAGGAAAGGAGAGGAGGGAAAGTTGGGATGCTGCATACAGATCAGCAGAAGGAAACCCATATACAAAGCCTACCAAACACGGTAACAATTCCAGCACACCCAGCCAATCTACCAACTTGAGCTGTGAGATTGAGCTCTCGCGCTGGGGTCTCAATACAGACACTGCCCACCCAGTCTAGCAACTCACCCTGTGGAACCTTTCGGGCCTCCCCAGAAATCGTCGGATCCGGGTGGGGGAGGAGGAGGGGGAGACGGAGGAGGAGGTGGGTAGTACCCTCCTGTTTGGCCCGTTGCCGGCCCTCCACCTGCTCATGTGGACACACATGGGAGAACGAGCTCATGTGGGGTGAGATGAACGAGGCAAGCAAGAGCGATGCAGTGACAGGAGAGCTCATTAATAGCTCTCATTAACAGGAGAGCGATGCAGTCTCCGGAAGGCAGGCTAGGTGGTGAGAATGGCGGCTTACCGGATGGGCGTGAGGTGCCGCAGCAGCAGGAGCGCAGGGCGAGAATGGCGATGTAGGTGATGATTGCCCATGTCAGCAATCGACCCAGCCACGACCCCTTCTCACGCTCTGGTTGCTGCTGGTGCTGCTGGTGAAAGTGCTGCTTCTTTTGCTGCTGTAAACGGAGGCGGGGGAGGGGAATGCGGAGACTGTACATCGTAAGGAGTCATGCAGCAAGAGAGAACAGAAAAGACCACATGGCTAGAGAAAGGAGTATTAAAGCAGTGTTCTCTTGCGGTAGAGAGGTGGGAAACTGGCGGAGGCATAAGTAGTGATTTTTTCAGATACAATTGAAGATACAGCTATTCAAAGGATCGGGAGGAATCACCTTAAACCACCCCTTGTTCTTCTCCTTCTTCTGAGATCCTGGAAAGAGTGACGCATGATGGGGGTTTACAGAACGGACGCAAACGATAAGCAGAGACGATGTGGCCTCAAAGAGAACGTAAAAAAACACAACCTTTTTGGCAAAACATGCAGATGACATAAAGCTTGAGGTGAAGGAGGTTTGAGTATATTTGACCTCTTTGGAGTATTTTATGGCTTGGATTGGATTGTAAGTACCTGGCACAGGCACAAGGGAATACTGCAGGCCACAGCTTCCATAGAGGATGCGAGGATCGTCCGGGTAATCAAAGCCCTGGGGGATGCGGGGTTAAGAAGGGAAAATGAAGAAGGAGACGGGAGGAAGAGAGGGAAGGGGTGGGTGGGTGGGGTTGTTTAGAGGAGAGCAAGAGAAAGGTAAGGGAAACAGATGGATACGGAGAAAGGGGGAGGGATGGAGCCCAGAGGCATGGGAACGAGCAGAGCCAAATGCGTAGGCAGCAGAGGCGTGCAGCAGGAATGTTAGGAAAATGACAGGACGGGAAACCTTTCGGCTTAGCTGTCATTACATGAAAAAGGATAAAGCTGCTTCTACTCTTGTGGCATTCCCTTACATACACCAGTGTTGCTGTCTCCCTTACATCTCAACTCAGTAGTCTTTTCCCACCACTATCACACGGCTCTTTCAAGACACATTCAGACTGAACCAGGAGTGAGAAAATGCAACGAGAAGAGACGAAGGGAACGAGTGGAAACCTAGTGAAAGCCAAGTGGGAGGGTGGGTGGGTGGACGGGAGTAGGGCGGAGGGGCATACCTCGCAGGAGACTTGCGTGAGACCGAATTGTAGGTGCGATGGAAGCTCTGCCTCACAGCGCCACTGCACCGCCACTCCGTCCGACCCCACGTTCACACACTGCACCACGTCTGCAGCGCGCAGGAGGTGGTTCCGGGGGGCGGGGGGAGAGGGGAGGGGAAGGGAGAAGGCGCGGAGGGGGGAAAAGGGGAGCGAAGGGGTAGGTTTAGTGCAAATTGGCGGGAAAAGAGGAAGAAGAAACCGTCTCTGACACCGAAGGTTGCTGTGACGGTTGAAACAAAAACAGGAGGAGTTACACTCAAGAAAATTTTGAGCCTACCTGGTTGAAAATCGCATCCGGAGAGACAGCTAAGTTGCGGCACGGCAGCCACACGACGCGCTGTCGTCATCGCTCCCTTCCGCAACGTCAGCGCTTTCACCTCCTCCAACAGCACCGCTCTATACCCACCCGCACCCTGCTGCTGCTGCTGCTGCTGCTGCTGCTGCTGCTGCTGCTGCTGGTGATACTGCTGCCCATATTGATGCTGCTGGTGCTGCTGATAGTCGTACGCGAACGCGGCGGATGCGGAATTCAGAAGCAGCAGCACCCCTGCGAGGAGCCATGCGAATTTCCAACAAATCACTTCGCCAGTAATCCATGGAGCGAGAAAACGGCGCGGTGATCGGGAAAACGATGATGATACGGAATTCGACGCCATTCGAGATTCGAGAGATCGCACAGCAAGGGCCACACCAAGCTTGATGACTCTGATTTGGGAGATTTTACAAGAATCCTTGTCTCTCTGTAATTCCGAAACAAAACTGAGATCCAGAAGAGCGCTTTGTGCAATTCACCACCTTGAACCGCGACTCATCACTTTGAACAGTGAGCGTGCAACTGTGACCTGCAACTCCGTTTCCTTTCGACTTCCTCAAATTCGCCAAGCACACGCAAGCCCCAGCCGAACATTGCCACGTGGTATCACATGGTTGGTTGAGGGGCTGATTTTGACGTGGGTACGAGGCTTGTCCAACAAGCACCCCGCCCACACCTTCAAGGAGCCTCCACAACCCAGCCGACAGCCAAGCGACGTGTGCGACAGCGGCATGCGAACCTGGTTACAGTTAAAACCCAGGGTCCAAGAGTTTTTTAGGAAGGTTGCTAGGGGCAAGAAACGTGACTGGCTCGCGAACCAGGGTGTTGCCGAAATCGGTGGCTTTTGCTCGCAAAGTATTAAAACATCGCGAGTCTAACCAGATCTGGAATGCAACGTCAAAATTCGCTCGCAAATAGTTTCGGATGGGCGCGAAATCTGTTTACGAAATCGTCACTGTCTCGTCTAGCAATTTTGAGTGGCGAAAAAAATCACGAAGGTTTTCGAAGTTGGGAGTCAGTATCTACTGGGTCACACCCAACCGAAGTAAGTTTGATGCAGTTTTGGCCTGTTTGGGACTCCCGTTTTAAGATGAGTGCCAAACAATGTCCAGTCATAAGTGTTCATTCATTCATTCCAGTTACCGACTGTGGATGTATGCATGTTTTTAGTGCATTAAAAAAAGTGTTAATTCATGTTGATGTACACCCGCCCCGCACAGCTAACTGGGCCATGTAGACATGCCTCTAAACATATAGCGAACAGCTTGCAATGTCAATCAGAAGGGGGATGGCGTCAGGGTCATCCCTAGGTTTTGAGCCTGCCTGATGCATCAGATGGCGTGGTTTTTTTTATGTCTGATGCATCAGAATTTCCTTCAAAACATTTCTGCTGAATCAGAAATTTTTAAAATTCAATTTCTGAATGATTTTCTTAGATCCCTCCTCATTTCACAATGTTCTGTACCTTACGAAGGAATTGCAAAGAAGAACGCGCGACTTTGGGACTTAAACTCGGATGCTCGCCATTGTGAAGCCAATCGCAACTACGGTACTTCTGTATACAGTGGTAGGGTTAGGTAACGCTCCAGATAACTGGCCGAACTCCATTCACACATGGAACTCGGTATAAGACGAAACCAGAACAGGTTCCTGATTGATCAGATGAATTCAAAACACATTTCTTATCAATCAGAAATTTCATTTCTATAAAATCAGATGAACTGGTAAAAATCTGTCTGAATATCGGACAAACAGACAGAAAATTTCTGCTAGCTACGACCCTGGATGGCGTTCCCAACATCCCCAACTAAACCCCCAAATCAAAAGCATAGGCCACCAAGTTGCTTAGTCCTAGGAGCACAACCTTGGAGAAATTAGGGTAAATGACGTCGAGTGTACTCCCATGTTGCAATTGCAGCACTGACGTGGACGTTGAGAGAGCGAATGAGACCGAGTTGAGGGATCTCCACACAGACATCCAAGAGCCGGATGAGATCAGCTGGCACTCCCTCTTTCTCCCGCCCAAGTAGAAGCACCTAACAGACACAAAACATGCGCACTTCATATTAATATCACCATAATGGACCATGTTCAGGACTTCTGATGGGAGACACGTCTAAAAGAGGGGACAGCTAACTGTTCTCTATAGCACATGTTTCTCACCGTTTTTGCAGGGAAGTCGTAGGTATGAATGGGAACACTGTTGGCTGTCTGCTCCAGGGCCACCAGAGTGTACCCCTGGGCTCGTTGCTGCTCCAAGTAGCTTGCCAGTGCTTGTATTGGGACCTCTTCTAATGGAACCCACTTTTCTGCGGTGACACTGCAACACGAGTGATGGGAAAATGCCAGAGTCCATGTGAAAAGGGACAGAGAGAACGGTAAAAGGAAAAGGGGGGAGTTGGAGTGGGGCGAGAAGGGTGGGGTCAGAGGAAAGAGTATTGAAACAAGGTACTGACATGATACACCAAGATACAAATCATGAGGTAAGGAGGCCATGTGGGTTGAGACATGGGAGTTGGGAGGATGGCAATTGGCGTAGCACAACACATAAAGGCACACAATGCGCAAACTCTTAAGAAAGCTCCAAGGCGCGCTGTACATGTGGCGTGACACATGGCAGAGCAGGAGGAGCAGGAGGGTGCGGAGGAATGTGGCCCACCCACCTGATGAGATGAGAAGGAACTGTCTGCTATCACCACTGGCGTGTCCTGGCCTGGAGAACCAAACAACTGGCCTTGACTACTTTTGAGAGGTTCAAACATAGTCAGAGCAGGTAGCATGCCTTGCCTGATCATGCCCACCCACCTGATCATGCCCACCCACCTGATCATGCCCACCCACCTGATCATGCCCACCCACCTGATCATGCCCACCCACCTGATCATGCCCACCCACCTGATCATGCCCACCCACCTGATCATGCCCACCCACCTGATCATGCCCACCCACCTGATCATGCCCACCCACCTGATCATGCCCACCCACCTGATCATGCCCACCCACCTGATCATGCCCACCCACCTGATCATGCCCACCCACCTGATCATGCCCACCCACCTGATCATGCCCACCCACCTGATCATGCCCACCCACCTGATCATGCCCACCCACCTGATCATGCCCACCCACCTGATCATGCCCACCCACCTGATCATGCCCACCCACCTGATCATGCCCAACCACCTGATCATGCCCACCCACCTGATCATGCCCACCCACCTGATCATGCCCACCCACCTGATCATGCCCACCCACCTGATCATGCCCAACCACCTGATCATGCCCACCCACCTGATCATGCCCACCCACCTGATCATGCCCAACCACCTGATCATGCCCACCCACCTGATCATGCCCACCCACCTGATCATGCTTCACTCACCTGATGAGCTGGAACTGCCTGTCATTCACCACCGACGTATCCTGGAGAACCAGGCGGTTGGCCTTGAAGACCTGGCAGGGGGGTAGGGTGTGGGGCGAGCGGCATGGATGGAGCATGGGACATGGGGAATGGGGAATGGGGCGAGAAGAATGGAGTGAGAGGAACGGGGCATGGGGTGTGCGGCATTGCACACGAGGCATGGGGATCTGGGTGAAGGGAGGGGAAGTGAGCAAGGGTGTGTGCAAAAGGCAGGGAATGGAGGTGAATACAGAGGACATTCCGTAGGGTAGATGGCGGCTGCAAGGAAGACTGCCACATGCAGGGCAGGGGCGTCTCTTGAAGCAGCGGCACGGATGCGGATGAACTAACAGAGCGCCTGACTTAAAAAGCACTACAGATTTAAGATTCCTGCTACCGAAAAAACATCACAGGGCAAGCTGGTTTTGCAGTTAGGGTTATCCTAAGGGTTATCCAGGGAACTCTTCCTGGCTACTTTTGAGGTGCCTCAAAACTCGTGAGGCGCCTCCGCAACAGGAAAGAGACGAGAATGCACCTCACACGTGCGAGCGAGCCCGGCAAGGTTGGGGATGCGGCCGATAAGAGACGCGACAACAATGATGTCCTGGCGGGTGCCTGTGGCCGCCTGCAGCAGCCCCTCCCTGCCCTCCACGTGGCCTCTTAGCAGTGCTTCCTCCTGTGCCTCCTCGCCCTGCTGCTGCTCTGACTCCCACCGCATGCGTAGAGCTGCGGTGGGCGTAGGGGGGTTGGGTTGGGTTGAGTGTGGTGTGGGTGGGAGGATTTAGAGTGAGAAAGGAGAGGCTTATTGTTACAGGGTAGCAGCACGCACGTTCCTCTTCCTCCTCGCCCTGCTGCGGTTTCGTTTCGACTCCCACAGCATGCGTAGAGCTGTGGTGTGGTGAGAGTGGTAGTGAGGTTGGGTGCGTGGATTGCGGTGTGAGGTGGGTTGGGTGTGGGAGAGTGGGTGAGTGGGAGTGTGGGTGTGGGAGAGTGGGTGAGTGGGAGTGTGGGTGTGGGAGAGTGGGTGAGTGGGTGTGGGAGAGTGGGTGAGTGGGAGTGTGGGTGTGGATGCGGGTGCAGGTGGGGGTGTGGGTGCAGGTGCGGGTGATGGTATAAGAAAAGGTAGGTCTGAGGATGATGAGCAAGAAAAGAAGCAGCCGTTCTCAGGCCCACCTTGGAGGAGAGCAGCTTGAGGCTCCACTCCCTGCCCTTGCTGCAGCTGCAGCTGCTGCTGCTGCGGTCCTGCCCCTCCCTGCCCTGCATCCAGCACCCGCTTCTTCCTCTGAAAGTCCGCCTGTCCTCCCGCTCCTGCTCCTGGCCCCCCCCCTCCTCCTCCTCCTCCTCCTCCTCCTCCTCCTCCTCCTCCTCCTCCTCCTCCTCCTCCTCCTCCTCCTCCTCCTCCTCCTCCTCCTCCTCCTCCTCCTCCTCCTCCTCCTCCACCTCCTGCTCCTGCTCTCTCTGCACCTCCTTGCACATCCACATCAATGCCAATGGCACCACCTCCTCCTCCTCTGCCTCCTCCTCCCTCCTCAACCGCTGTCCCTCCTTCGTCACCCCCAGCTGCTGCCACAGGGCCAGCAGAGCCTCTAAGCCCAAGCGCTGCTGCGTCTGCTGCCATAGCGGCTCGCAGTGACTCTCGAGCGAACTGGACATGGGGAGAGCAATGGTGTGGTTAGTTTGGAGGGTGGGAGAGGCGATGAGGGTACGAGAGGGAGGGGGAGGCGACGAGCATGTGTGAGTGTCGTATAAAAACGGATGGCTTGGCAGGGAAGAGCTAGACTTGGGTTTGGAAACCCTCAGAACCAAGATTTGAGTGCAGCATATTCCAGTGAGAAAACTGATGATAGAGAGAGAGGCGTGTGAAGCATAGAGGAGAATTGCAGAGAAGAGAGCTGCAATCACGAACCGAAACGGAGGACTAAGGATCGCTAGACGGGCAGGGGAAGAACTTAGTAACAGTATAACAGAAGACCGAGGAAACGAAAGAGAAGGAAAACAGATCATCCTATGGATGGATGGATGGATGGAGGAGATTGGCAGCTCACATTGAGGAAGCTTGTGACGCGGTCCAGAACAGCGGTGGGCGCACACTCAAACGGATGAGACCCTGCCACCTGATGAACGCACACAGAGAGGGACACACAAATGCCATGCGGCGGTGGAGGTTCTATGGGGTGCAATGGGGTGCAATGGGGTGCAATGGGGTGCAATGGGATGCAATGGATACAGCTCTTCACCTCCTGTGCTACAGCTACAGAAATTCATCACTCGCACCCTTAAACCCAAGTACTCAACCCTCCACTCCACTTATGCTTCATCCACGAACCTCCTCCTAGAATATCAGCTCAGCTGCATATGTTCAACATTTCATTCGCACATGCACACATTCACAGCACCACAGCTAATTGACCCTCAAACCCTACACCACACACCCACTTACCTCCGCTGCTGTCCTCCCGGGGAGCGCCTGCCGGGTATCAAAGAAGGAGCGCAGGAACATGCCCCGGGGCGTGGCTGCTGCCTCGGGGTCAAAGGTGTCAAAGTAGCGGTCAACAGCCACACGCACTCTGATGATTGGGAGAACCAGACAGACAGAAAGAAGCGGGGGTTCAATGACTCTGCTTTCGGTCTCTTCTGTTTTGGGCGTGGGTGGGTGGTGAGTTGCGGAGGTGGGGAGCATGTATATGCTTGTTTTCCGATGTGTGGCAGCTTTGGCAAACTGTTCCGGCAGAACTGACAAGCTGACTGACCAAAAAGGAACAGAGTCTCATTGTCAGCTGCTGGTTGGCTTGGCACCCAGCCTACGTGCACCCTGCATCAACTCGCGGCAACCATACAAAACTACAATCCATCCATGGGTGGTTTGACTGACATAGCCAGGAAGATCTGGAGAATCTGGAACAACTGTGAAAGGAGTGTGCATTGGGACAAGGTGGTGGGTCGAAAACTAGGTTGTAACCGCAACGCACCGAGCGCAGTCCGTGTTGGTGTTGAGGTATGTCCATATGGCTTGAAACACCTTACTGCCGCTGACAATGCTGGACGACGGATCCTCATTTAAACCACTCTGCATCCCACTGCTGCTGCTGTCTGCATTTCCGCCGCTGCTGCTACTGTCTACACTGCCACCGCCGCTGCCTGTAAGCTGCGGAAAGCGTCTAAGAACACGGTGCAGCAGCACCTGAGTGAAGGTGCGCAAGTTGTGGTGGTGACTGGTGACGTAGGGGAGCGTGGCAGGCAGCAGCTGGTGCAGGTGCAGCAGCTGTAGGGAGGAGTCCTTGGTGTGGAGAATGAAACAGGCTGCAATGAGCACGTATGATGCTTGTGCCTGTATGGGGTGGTGGGAATGGGGCGTTGGGAGGAGCACGTGAAAGGTTTTTGAGCCGCCTCAAGAAGCGGCAGTAGCTGGTACAAGTGCAGCAGCTGCAGGGAGTAGTCCTTGGTGTGAAGAATGAGACAGGCTGCAATGAGCACGTAGGATGCTTGTGCCTGTATGGGCTGATGGGGATTGGGCCGTTGGAAGAAGCATGAAAGGGGGATTTAGGGGAGGAGAAGAAAAGGGGGGAGAAAGACGGAGAGAGTGAGTGCAAGGGCGTAGAGGGATTCGTGTGGGGTGGAGAGAAACAGAAAGCAACAAAAAAGAGGAAGCCAAGATAGGAAAATTCACGAGAAAACACAGGGGTGAGAAATTTGGGAGTGGAGGTTGGGAGGGCGAGGACTAGAGAGAACGCTTGGAGAGTAAGTAGTTGCGAGTGAGTGGGATGGGGGGAGGGGTGCATGGTACCTGCGTCTTGAGGTTGGCGTTCTGAAGATGGTTCAATACGTGTGTCTCCACCTGTGCAGGGGATGGGTGGAAAAACAAAGAAGTATTTTTCCGAGGGTGTCTGCTTGTGAGTTTGTAGGTGTGTGTGCGTGTCCGCGTGTGTGTGAGTGTGTGTGTGGATGTGTGTGTGTGAGTGTGTGTGTGTATTTATTGTGTGTGTTGTTTTTTGTTTTTTGTTTTTTGTTTTTTTGTTTGCTTGTTTGTTTGATTTTTCTGTGTCTGTGCGTGTGTGCGCGTGCGTGCGTGCGTGCATGTATGGGCGTGTGTGTCTATGTGGATAAAGAATCGAGAGGCCGAGAGCGGCGTACCAGGTGTGGGAAGCGGAGGAACATGAGGACACCGAATATCTCCACGTACTGCCGCACTGATGGCATGTTGTTGCGCTGCCGTGCCGTGCACGTGCGCGGTAGAGGCGAAACAGGAGGGGAGGGGAGGGGAGGGGAGGGGAGGGGAGGGGAGGGGAGGGGAGGGGAGGGGAGGGGAGGGGAGGGGAGGGGAGGGGAGGGGAGGGGAGGGGAGGGGAGGGGAAGAGGATGAGGATGGGGAAAGGGGTCGGCAACAAGGAGGGTCAGCTTATGAGCTGACATGAAAGAATTTCCATGCAGCGAATGCCTTGGAAGGACTGTGATCGAGTACACTCTCGGAAATCACAGTGAGTCTCGAAGGGACTCGGATTTGAGATTGAGAAGCTAAAACCGTCTACAACTTTCACATACAGTTTTTTCAGCAGGAAGCTGCACTCACGCACTCACTCACGCACTCACGCACGCGCGCGCTCACCCATGGATGCACACACGCACACACACACACACACGCACACACGCACACACGCACACACACACACATGCATACACACATGCACACGCACACACACACACACACACGCACATGCACACACACATGCACACACACACACACACGCACATGCACACACGCACACACACACACACACGTAACACACACACACACGCTCACCCATGGATGCACACACGCACACACACACACACACATGCACACACGCACACACACACACACACGCACACACACACACACGCACACACACACACACGCACACACACGCACACACACACACACACGCACACACACACACACGCACACACGCACACACGCACACACACACACACACACACACGCACATACACGTAACACACCTCTAGAGCCCTGCTGTAGAGGGCAGTGACAGACGGCAACATGTCATGCGATATGAACGGGGAGAGCAGCGCAAGCATCTGCCACACCCGAACCTTCCTCCTGTGGATCTGACACCATCAACCAACACAGATAATACCAGATGGTGAGAGTTGACTTTTGAGTCGACTAATAAAAATACTTGCCACACCCAAACCTTCCTCCTGTGGATCTGGCACCACCCACAAAAAGAGAAAAACAGAGGGTGAGAGACACGCAATGTAGACAAGGGTGTTGCTGCAGGCACACTTGGAAAGCAACGCAGAGGGGAGGGAGGCATGGGCTTTGATGACACTGAACGAATGACAAAGACGGAGTGTGCATGAGGTGCTACCACCACCACCCACTCTCCACCACCATCCTCTTTCCACCACCACCCTCTAGCCACACCACCGCTCACCGCACTGTGCTTCTTGTACAGCTCCTTTGAAAGCTCCTGATCCGTCACCTGATGGCCAGGGCGCAACAGAGAGAGGTCAGCCAGCAAGCATCACCATCAAAAAGGCAGAAAAAGGTCTGGACAGGAGAGGGTCTGAAGTTGCTTCTGAAAAGGTTGAAAATCACTTCAGAAGCTTTTGGGTGGCCGGATTTCACTTACATTGAGAGCAATGTTTGTACAAAGAGATGGGATCTAACGAGAAGAGACATGGCAAGGTAGAGGAGATTGGGGGTGTGAGAGGGGTTGGTTGGGGGGAAGCGTACTGCAGATTCGAGGAGAAGCATGAGAAGCTGCTGACAGCTGCGGATGGCGTGATGTTTGTCAGATGACGTGGCACGTGCAGAGGTGGTAAGTGCAGACGTGGCAGGAGCAGGTGGAGTAGCAGAAGCAGCAGAAGTAGCAACAGGTGGGAGGTAGAGCGATGCGAAGTGGTGAGCCATGATGGCAACACACACGCGAGCAAACATCTCAGAGTTGGTGAACACCTGAGGTGAGGCCGGGCGGAGGAGAGAAGGGGGTGTGGAAGAAGAAGGGTTGGGTTCATGGCAAAAAGCAAATGGCAGAGTTGAGCAGCCTGTAACACGCATGCACACATGCACACACACACGCAGCCAAGCGCGCGTGTGTAGACACAGAGAGGCATGCAAGCAAACATGCGCACGTGCACACACAGAGGTGGTTGCAAATGTTCTGTCGGATGCTTTCAGGGCTGAAAAATCGCTGCCTATCAAGCATAGCACAAAGTACCCGCCCTCCAGCAACAGCACCCCTCACATGTGCGAGCTCAGCATCATGGCTCCTAGCCAGATGACAATCCTTATGCTTTTGAGGCGCATCGGAGGTGGCAACATGCTTTTGAGGCGCGTCAGAACTCACATGTGCGAGCTCAGCGTCATGGCTCCTAGCCAGATAGCAGTACTCGTGTGATGCTGCTGCACTCTCCGCCACCTCCCCGTCTAACTCCTCATCCACCGCATCTTTAAGTGGGGAGGAAGCAAGCAGCAGGAGCAGACAAGGGGAAGACAGCAAGGAACAAGAGCAGACATAAGAGAGGGAAGCTGTTGGTTTGAGACGTATGAGCGAGACAAGAGGGACGAAATGGGAAGGAACTGCTCTTGTGAAGGTGATCTCCCCGCAATCTCTTTAGCGTTGGAAAATACCGCCCTATCGTCCACACGACACAACCAACCAGCATTGTCGTGCTGCAAACGAAGCAGCCAGTTTTTGAGGAGCCTCAAGAGCCAGCACTTACGTGCTGCAAACGAGGCAGCCAGCAATCAACACAACACCCCTTCACTAATATTGAATCGCAACGCACCTGCGCCATGCAGAGTGAGGGCCTTGAGAGTGGGGAGGTAGAAAGAGGCGGCGCTGGGGAAGACGGTGAGCAGCGACGTGAAGTGCATGGAGAAGAGGCGCATGGTGCGCGGGCTGCGCTCAGCCAAGGTCATGAGACGCGCTACCATCTGATGGGGGTGAGTGAGATGGGGGGGAAGTGGGGAGGGGGATGGGAGATGGGGTGTGGGTGAGAGGGGAGGAGAAGGGGGAGAGGAGGGAGGAGGAGGGGGGGAGAGGGCGGGAACGACGGATGGGAGAAGGGGAGAAGGACAAAATCATGAAGAGGACAGGAAAGAGGAAGAAAACCAAAGGCAGGTACTGGAAGGAAGGGGCATGCATTGGAATTGAACATCTGTGGCTCACGAAACTCCCTGAGAAGCCTTGTGCGCTGCATGAGCAAGTTGGCTTGGTTTCAAAGATCAGAATGACGCACCCACTGCAGAGGAGGCTCAATGCCAGAAGAAGCCAGGCCTTCCACCCCATCACCACCATCACCAACGCTACCACCAACGGCACTGCTAACATCGTTTCTGGGTGTATCAGCATCACTATCGGCTTCAGCGGGGTGTAGGTCGAAAGAGTGCATGCAGGGCTGGGAGAAGAGGGTCGGGTGGAAGACGGCAGAGAGGAAGGCTGCTACTGGCGCCGCCCTCCGCTTCTGCCCATCCTCCACTGCCCTCCATGCTGATGTTACTAGCCGCCATGTGACCTGTTGGTGTGGGGAAGGGGAGGAAGGGAGATGGGGAAAGGGAGAGAGGAGGGCATGGGAGCAGTAAAAGAGAGGTGGTGAGAGACAGAAGACATCCTACATTGCAGAATTTTTTGCTAGCCTGGTCGCCTCGCCCCTGCAACCTGGGCGGTGGCTTGCTTAACCAACCAGCAATATGCCTACCAGATGCACAGCACCGCACAGTACCGGAACGGAACTCCTCCCACTCACGTCGACTCTTTCGCGGTCGGAGGGGAAGGTATCGAGCACGCGCAGGGAGAGGAGGGAGCGGAGGGCACGGAAGAGAGGCAGGAACTGCTGCTCCTCCAGACCCTCAAGGCTGCATGCCGTGGGTGGGTTGTGGGGTGGGGCCATGGTGGAGTGGAAGGGTGAGGGAGAGAAGAATTGAGTGGAATGGGGGGGAATTGGGTTTGGTGGTAAAGTAGCTGGTCAAAACTTCTCTAATCTCTGCAGAAGATGGAAGCAGGGGGAATGCTAGTTCTTTTTTCTGGGCACCTAGAAGGTTCAGAAGGAATAGGGGAATGCTGGATGCACGAGTTGTTAGCACAGCGAAAGGAAAGCAAGCAGGCTGGCACTTTGACACATGAGCCACGAACAAGTGAGGCGTGATGTGAGAAGTGAAAAGTTCAAATGGAACAAGGCGTTTGGCACTTCGCGTGGGTGGTAGAGTTTTCTTTGCAAACGTTGAGTTGCGTCAAGTGCTGGCAGGCAGGATGGCATTACAATATAATGCAGTGCAACTGGCAGGCAGGCAGCAGCTATTAGCAGCTGACTCCAGCACGAATCTCCAGCACGAAGTGCCAGAACGAGTTACCAAGCAAGCAGCATCAAGGCCAGGTCACCCACCTATCTGCAGCATCTTCAAGCAGTGCCTGCTGCACCGCAACCATCCTCTCCCTCTCCTCCCCACCCTCCACCGCCACCACCCCTGCCAACGAGCCGTTGCCACCAGCATGGAGCAGCAGGGCGGCGCACAGCAGTCCATCAAGACAGTCCCACTTCACCTCCAGCAGCCGCGCCATTCTGCTGCGCGCCACTCCCCCGCCACTCCTGCCCGCTGCCCCTGCCACCACCACCACCGCCTCTAACAACCACAGCACCCCTGCCCCTCCCGCCCCTCCTGCCGCTCCTCTCCCCTCGCCTCCTACCCCTCCTCCTTTTCCCGTCCCCTCCTTGCTTTCCTGCAGTGGCTGCTGTTGCCGCTGCTGTGATGGTAGTGCTGCTGTGGCACCCACAGCAAGTAGATGGCACACTGGCTGTAGCAGCTCTAGACAGCCCAGCAGTAGCTCTGCCTCCACCTGGTGTTGGTGTTGATGGTAGTGGGGAATATGGGGTGAATGATGGTGGTGACATGGAGTGGGCAATGGTGGTCGTGGGATGATGCAATGGAGGGAAGATAACAAGGCCACAGCAGGCATACAATCGGCAACACATGAAACTTTCAGAGTGCATGGCACGTCGCACATGGTGGTGCATGACACATGGCGCACCACATGACATGGCACACACGACACACAGCACAGAGAAAGGTTAACATCCATGACCCCGCAAAGCCCAGAATCCCCATCACACAAAGTAACTCGTAATCCCTCGGAGTACCTACAGACTCACCTCAGTATGCGGCCACTTCCTCGTGTGAGACAGCGCCAGAGCGCTCGCAACACAGCCGCCCACCCACCCACGGATGCTCCCCTCCACTCCCGCAAGCCAAGACAGGTCACTCGCAAGAGGCTTCACGCCTGCTCCATCCTCTTCTCTTGCACCCATGAGGCTCATGTCCGCATGCTTGTGCATGTGTGCCCATCTAGCAGCCGCCGCAAAGCAGCACACCAGATTAACCTGAGGATGTGAGGTTGTGACATGGGGCACGGAAGGCCTGCTTTTTTAGATGATATTGCAATTATTGCAGTCATGGTGCCATTCCCTTTCACAGGCAGAAGCAGAAATGGAGTTGATTCGAGCTGGGCTGGAAGCACAGGAATCTTAAGTGCGACAAGGAGGCTGAGAAAGATGAAAGGATAGCAAGGAAAGCACGGGGGGCAGAGGGTGGAGGAGAATAGGCCTGTATTGATAGAGAGTTCAGCAGGAGAAGCAGCAGAATTAGAAGCAGGTATTAGCAGCACTGACCGCTCGCAGCACAGCAGCACCGGTGGTGAGAGGCAGGCGGCGCAGAGTGGGGCCGCCGAGCTTCCCCCGCACTGCAGCTGGTAGAGGTGCCGAGGAGGTGGCTAGGGAGGCCAGTTGATCTGGGCTGGCGAAGAGAAACTGATCTTGGGAGGCCAAAGCAGTGAGAGATGGCTGCAGGTTCCTCGTGCGTGCATGCACCCAAGGGTCGAAACCATACGACCAGGAAGTAACGGGTAGAGTGAAAAGGGGTCAAAAAAGAAAAGGAGAAGGGAGAACGACAACAGGAAAGGGAATAAAAACGACTGCTGTAGGAGTTTGTTGCATCGGCAAGTGCATTGCAACCCAAGCGCACAAATCATCTAAACCCGAAACCTGAAAAAAGAAATGGAGGTCTGCATACCATGACCAGCGAAAGAAGCTCCAGCAAGGAGCTTCTTGAAGCCACCATCATCTCTCTTGCACACGCACTACTGCTCGTGTCACTGCCGCTGCTGCTGCTGGTGGTGTTGATACTGCTGACGGTGCTATTGTCAGCAGCTTTCACGCAGCCCTTCCAATAGCGTTCTGTCACGTCATACTGCTCCAGCAGCACCTGAAGGAGAACAAGCAGCCTCTGCCTGCCACCTGGCGGCATGTGAGTGGCCAGGAGATCTGAAAACAGCCCCTGAAGATCCTGCAGAAGTGAGGTGAAGAATAAAACGGGACCCAGAGAGGGGAGGAGAGCAGGAAGGGTGGGTGAGGAGTAACGGCAGCAGCGAGACCAGAGGAGAGAGAGAGGAAGTGTTACGGAAGCCACAGCTTTAATCGGCACACACTGTTGCTAATGAATGAGCACACACACGCACATCACAGCACAGCGCAGTAACACCATGTTGCACCAGAGACGCACACAGCAGGCGCGCAGAGCAACTCTCAACTCACCTTCCCTGCTGCTGCAAGCACGTGGGGAGAAGGCATGGCGGCTAGCAGCACGAGACAGCAGCGAGCAGAGGCAGCATGCCACGACGCCAGATCACTGTCAGATATCACATCCACCAACCTCTCCTGCTCCTCCTTCTCCACATCCTCCACCTCTTCCCCTTGCCTGCCCCTCCTTCCCTCCTCCCCTTCACTCCCGCCATAATCCCCTGCTTCTGTCTCGCCCAGCTCTTCTCGAGACTGCAGCAGCAGCAGCGCCTCCTCCTCAGCCTCCTCACCAGCAGTCTTCCCCAGGACAAAGAAGCGCAGCGCAGTGATTAACCGCTCTGCCAGGTGGCAGCTCCTGATTGGCTGGGGTTCAGTGTGCGAAGGGTCAGCCAGTCCGTTGGTCGAGGGACTTGCAAAAGAGGCAGCATTGGTACTGGTGGGAACACTGCTGGTGGTGGTAGCAGTGCCGGTTAGTGCGGGGGGTTTGCTGGGCACGTGGGTGCATGGTTGCGGTGCATGCAGCCAGCTCACAATGGTTGCCCGCACAGATGCTGCATGGATAAATCAATGGGTACACAATTAAAGCCAAGAAAATGAACGAAGCAGATTGTTTCTGAAGGAAGAGCCGTTACGAGGTGGGATGCATGACCTTGTGAAGGTAACAGGGAAGGAAAGCGGGAGAATCTATTTTTGAAGCGCCTCAAGAATGGGATGCATGACCTTGTGAAGGTAACAGGGAAAGAAAGCGGGAGAATCTATTTTTGAAGCGCCTCAAGAATGGGATGCATGACCTTGTGAAGGTAACAGGGAAGGAAAGCGGGAGAATCTATTTTTGAAGCGCCTCAAGAATGGGATGCATGACCTTGTGAAGGTAACAGGGAAGGAAAGCGGGAGAATCTATTTTTGAAGCGCCTCAAGAATGGGATGCATGACCTTGTGAAGGTAACAGGGAAGGAAAGCGGGAGAATCTATTTTTGAAGCGCCTCAAGAATGGGATGCATGACCTTGTGAAGGTAATAGGGAAGGAAAGCGGTAGAGGAGGTTGAGAGGGAGTGGCGAAAAGAGAGGTGGGGAGATTCTCAATACAGCAACGGCTGAAGGGACAGCAAGCGTTGTGATTGTTGTGTTACGGTGGAGAGAACCGCAACAGTGATTGTTGTGTTACGGTGGAGAGAACCACAACAGTGATTGTTGTGTTACGGTGGAGAGAACCGCAACAGTGATTGTTGTGTTACGGTGGAGAGAACCGCAACAGTGATTGTTGTGTTACGGTGGAGAGAACCGCAACAGTGATTGTTGTTTTACGGTGGAGAGAACCGCAACAGTGATTGCTGTGTTACGGTGGAGAGAACCGCAACAGTGAACTGGTTCACCAGCACGTCCAGGAAGATGCATTTTCTTATATTAACTAAAACTAATGTATGAAAAAAAAAGGAAAAAAAAAAAGCAGGAGGAACGCTGCTTGCCTGTGGAGAGCAAGCCTTGGTGGGGCAGGATGCAGAGGAGGCGGAGGAGGAGAGGCGTAGAGAGGTGCGAGGCTGACACAGATGCTGTCACTGCTGCAAACACGTGCGTTGATACTGTTGTTACAGGTGCAGGTGGCCGGGTAGGGGAAGGAATGGGAGAAAACTAGGAACAAGGCTGTTCACAAAAAGAAAGAACGGTTTGCTTAAAGGTATGTAGGAATATGGCACAGCAAGGAAATCAACTACTGTACGGCAAACAAACGGAAAATGAAGAAGAAGATGAAGCATCAATAATGGAGACCCCAGAAGGAGGGGGAATCGATAAAATGTGGGGAACATAACAATAAAAAAGGAGACATAGTGGGCACGTCTCTCCTCCTTTTTTCAGTCAACCAAAAAAGCATCTCCTCTCCTTTCCTCTTTCTACCTTTGAGCCGAAAGGCAGGGTTGAAGTGTCTCCGTGCCATCTCCAGGACTTGACAGAACAGCAGCGCCAACTGCACCTCCAGTTCCACGCCCTCGCCTGTCCTCCCCTCCTCCAAACACCCCACCAAATCTTGCAAGTAACCCGATTTGTCCTGTGATAACGCCTCCTCCCCAACCTTCCCCTCCGTTTCCTCCTTCCCCTTCGCCCCCTCGCCCCCTTCTCCTGCCTCTGCAGCACATCGCGCCGTGTGTCTGGCAGTGAGGAAGGCAGCAGGCGCAGCGGCGGCATGGATGCACATGGCGCATGTCATGTGGCCTATCCGCCCGGGCATGATGCGAATCATGCTGGACAGCAGGCGCTGCAGGAGGAGCGGACGGGCTCTGATGGGGTACAGGGGGTGAGGAGTGGAGGGGTTGGGAAGAGCGACAGAGGTTGGGGAGTGATGCGAGCTGCGATTCCATTTTGGCAAGAAGAAGGCTGGTGATTCCGGTGGTGAGAAGAAGACGAAAAAGAAGAGGACATCCTCTGAAATGCAAATGGCAATGGCAATGGCTGTAGCTGCAGAGAGGTGGGCAAAGGCGCATGCAGCAGAGGTGCCATGCAAGGGCATACAGGGCTGGGAGAGGCCGAGAGTTACGTTTGAGTCTATTCAAAAGTCACCTTGGGCAAAGATGCATGCGGCTGGGGCAGAGGTACCATGCAAAAAAGCTTACCGGGCTGGGAGAGAGGCCGAAAGTTGGGCAAAGACGCATGCGGCTGCTTCGGCAACTGTGGACGAGTATCGATCCCTGATGCCTGCAGGGAGCGGAGGAAACAGCAGCACAGGAAAGAAACCTAAATTTTGAGATAGGAAAAGAATTGCTGTGGTGTAGACAGAGAGGGCGAGGGTTCGGTTGGCTGGAAAGGTAAATCTCTGCACAGAGGAAAAACAACTGCGATGATTTTTTTGGGGGGGGGGGTGGGGTGTTCCCCTTTTTTAATAAGAATAAGAATTGGAAGGCAGCTGACAGGAGGAAATCGGGAGAAGGATAGGAGAAGCAGGCAACGCGAGGATGACGATGGATGGATGGCGTACCGAAATCTGGATGGCAAGAGTGGTTGTCGAGAGCAGGCAGGAAGACATCTAGCAGGAATGTCAAGGGTAACCGCCCCACTTCCCACTGCAGCTGCTTCACTCCATCTCCCCTGGTGATTCTTCTTCCAAATTCTGATGTTTCACTGGGCAGAAGCGCTTCTAAGCCTGCCTCTGCCTCTGCCTCTGCCTCTGCCCCTGCCTCTGCCTCTGCGCCTTGCTGAGCCGTGTACTTGGACGCAGCAGGAGAAGAGGGGACATCGCATCCGAAGCAGCGGAGGAAAGATGACATGACCAGCCGGCGAACTGGCAGTGGGGAGGTGGTGGGGGAGACGGACAAGAGGACGGTACGTGAAAGGAAGCGACTGAAGAAGAGGGAGCAAAGTGGTAGTCAAGGAGGAGTGGCACGAATGTAGATACCATCATACCACAAACAAGTGAACTACCATGAGACATTGTGTTGTGTTCTCTCAACTAAAGCATGCGTCATAGGGAAAGTGTACGTACAAGACAAGGTAACATGCCTCGCATCGCACTTATAGGAGTGTGCATAAAAAATGTGCAGCAGAACGTTATAGAGGGTGAGGAAAGGAAGCAGGAATTTTATCAGATAAGGAAATGAAACGAAGCAACAACGTACACAGTCTAAACAAGCATTAGACTGGACAAGCCCTAAACAATAGGAGGAGACAGAGGGCCAAGACCCACCCACGCCACAGAAGTGTATTTTGAGGCGCCCCAAAATACACCTAAATAGGGCCAAGACCCACCCACGCCACAGAAAACAGGGATGAAGAATGAGAAAGGGGCGTGCCTTGAGGGTTGTTGTGCGAGAAGCCTTGTGTCCACGCAATGCAGATAAAGGGGAGGTCCACGTCGGGTATAGCAGCGGCCCATGATGATTGGGGAGGAAATCCCGCATCTACTGCAGTAGCAGGCGCAGCAGCAGCAGCAGCAGTACTGGCACCGTTGCCAGCACTGGAATGATGCGAGGGGGTTGATGAAACTGCCGTGGAGGAGAGCAGGAAGGACATCTGCAGAGCGCAGCACAGGTAGCAGAATGTGGGAAACAGATTGCATGCGAGAGAGACAAACACAAGTTTAGAGACACCAGGATCTAATCTAAGGTGTCTCAAAACAGGAGAAGCGAGAGAGACGAGCTCGGGATGGCATGTGATGAGAACTAGAGGCAAGCCATCCACCAGAGGAGATCAGAGGCAAGGAGAGAGGCATGCACGCAGTGCACACAAGCACGCTGTGAGCACAGGCATGTGTTAAACAGAGCGAGTTATGCTAAGGTAGGTCACACCTGTGGGTCCCACACGGCTTCTGAGAGATGCACGCCAAACTCATCCAGAGTGTTGAGCACCAGGCTCAGCGCCTCCCACCGCTCACTCCTCCTCAACACCTCCTCCAACTCCCCTGCCACCACCCTCGCCTGCTCCTCCCACTGCCTCTCCCCTCGCTCTCTTTCCTCCGCTGCTCCTTCTGCACCCTCCGGACCTTCCTCCACCTGCCGCCGCTGCTGCTGCTGCTGCTGCTGCTGCTGCTGCTGCTGCTGCTGCTGCTGCTGCTGCTGCTGCTGGTCCTGGTGGCCTTGCAATGAGCCGCTCTCAGCCCCATGTCCTGTCCCATCGTCATCCGTATCCCTCTCTCCACCCTTCTCTGCCTCTTCCGAAGCAGCACTGCCGCCCTTCCCATCATGCATAATCCCTATCACCTCCTCCTTCGCCCACCGCTCCCTTTTCACGCTCTGCCCATCCCCCCTTCCCCGTGCCTTTTCCCCACCCTTCCCACTCCCCATTCCCCCTTTCCCCTTTCCTTTTCCCCCTTTCCCCTTCCCCTTCCCCTTGCCTTTCCCCCTGCCAGCCACCCCCGGTTCCTCTACCCCCAGCCCAGGCCCAGATAGTGCGTGCCTGAGCTGCTGCAGCACCCTGCGAATGGGGTCGCATGCAGGGACGGCTGCTTGGAGGAGGAAGGAGGCTCGCTTGTGACTGAGGCCGTCCTTCGACACCTGGAGGGGTGGGAAACAACGGACAGGGAGGGGGTGTGGGGAGGGAGTTTTGAAGGGAAGAGGTTTGCTTGTGAGGTTAGCTGCTCCATCTCACACCGAAGAGGCTCGCTTGTGAGTGAGACCGTCCTTTGACACCTGGCGGGGTGGCGAAAGGCGGGGAAGGGGAGTGGAGAGGAGGAGGGGGGGAAGGGAGTTTTGAGACATCTCAAATCGAAGTGGTTCGCTGTGAGTGAGACTGTCGTTTGACACCTGGAGGGGTGGCGAAAGAAGTGTTTGGGTTGGAAGAGTTCTGAGACGTCTCAAATTCAAGAGGCTTGCTTGCGGTTGCGGGTGCCCTGTCTATCCTATCTCCCACTGCTCCGTCCTCACTGTCCCACACTCCTGTTCGCCTTACCATTCCAAACCTGACTGCCTGCCCCTCTTACGGAACAATGGCAGGCCTGGTAGGCAACATAATTTTGGTCAAGCTTGCCGTACCTACCGACTGGTGAATACTGATTGATCTTGCGGCAACTTTTGAGTCAACTCAGAAGTTACCAACTGGTAACTCCTAATTGCTCTTGAGGCGCAGCAAGAATAAAGTGTCAACACAGCAAGCCTTACATCTGTGATGAGTGCAGCGCAGCGCACCTCTGCTGCCGTCCTATTTACCCGTCTTCTTATGTGTAACCTATTATCCTATCCTACCTTGCCTGCCTTTTGAGGCGCCTCAAAAGTCTTTTGAGGCGTTTCAAAAGTCTTCTCATGTGTACCCTATTATCCTATTATCCTATTATCCAAGTATCCTATTATCCTATTATCCAATTATCCTATTATCCTATTATCCTATTATCCTATTATCCTATTAGGATAACCTGCCAACCTGCTCACTGCCTGCCTTGCTGCCAACCTGCTCACTGCCTGCCTTGCTGCCAACCTGCTCACTGCCTGCCTTGCTGCCAACCTGCTCACTGCCTGCCTTGCTGCCAACCTCACTGCCTGCCTTGCTGCCAACCTGCTCACTGCCTGCCTTGCTGCCAACCTGCTCACTGCCTGCCTCACGTACATCATGCCATGCCTGACCATAGCAAGCGGGGCCCATACAGGTGTGGTTGTCTTTTTTACCCTCTCACAGGTCCTACCAGAGCAACTAAGGGCAACGCCCGCCCATCTACCTCCACAGGTACAGCTACAATGTGCGATGTCTAAGGCTCGAGGCCATTCAAGATCTCAGGCGAGTCCTGAGAAGCGCCCGCCCACCAGCGGACAGCTGGTTTTTGGAACGTCTCGAGAAACATACCAAGCCTAGCCGTAGCAGCACCCGCTGACAGGTGCGGCTGGTTCTTAAAAACGGCTCAAGAAACGTACCAGGCCTAGCCTTAGCAACGCCCACAGGTGCGGCTGCTGGCGCAGGTCGAAGCGGTGCGACGGGCGAGGTAGCGGCGAACCGTGGTGGATCGGGGCGGGTGGGAGGAGGATGGGCGGGAGGAGTAGGCGATTGAACAGGACAAGGAGGCTGATGAGCTCGGAGAGAAGGGGCGGAGGGAGAGGAGGGAGCAAGGGGGAGGTGTTCACTGAAGGGTCTGCTACGGTGGGGGATTTGGAAGAGGTTCCAGCAGCAACAGCAGCGGCGGCGGCAGCAGCAGTGAGAGGCTGTGCAGGGCTGATGAGTTGCTGCAGTGAGTGCCAAACTGCCAACACGCACTGCTCCCTGCCATGGCACGGACGTACAGTGTGAGTGCAGGTGTGGGTGGGGGTGGGGATTTTCAATTAACATCCACGTTGCACATGGGGAGAGGGGAGGACGGGGGGCAGAGAGAAGGGAGGGGTGGGGGAAGAGGGGTAAGCGAGGATGGGGGGAGGGGAGAGGGAGGGGAGCTTGGGAGGAGGGTTGAGTGTTGATGCCGCGCTTGGGAAGGGAAAGGGTCGGATAGAATGACACATAAAATGGCAGCACCCACACACGAACACATTTACTCAATACACACACAGACAACCACACACACACACACACACACACACACACACACACACACACACACACACACACCTGCTTTCCCTCCACTCATGCCATGCATCCTCAGCACCTCCCCCCAGCTGCCCACAACCATTCTGCTGCTGCTGCTGCTGCGGGTCATCTACCCCCACTAGTGCATCCACAGCAGAGGGCAGAAGGCGGTCAAGAGCCGTGGCACGCAGGGCAGAGAGGGACACAGAGGAGGGGGCGGAGGAGGAGGATGAAGAGGAGGAGAGGAGGATGAACGGGAGTGATACAGAGAGGGTGGCTGTGACAGCACGCTCCAGGGCTTGAAGGGGAGTGATGGGTGGCTCTTGAGTGGAAGGGAGGGCTTGTGAGTGCGAAGTGCTGAGTGGGAGAGGCGAGGCTGCTGCAGCCGCTGCGTCTGTGGTCTGGGTTGGGGTTGGCGGTGCTGGTACGAGGGTGGAGAGGGAGGAGAGGGAGGAAAGGAAGCGCGAGAGGAGAGTGGCGGCAAGGGAGGGCGGGAGGCTGAGGGCCTGGGCGCATGCACAGTGAGGCAGCAGGGGGCGGCCCAAAGGGAACGAATCATTCAAAGAGGCAGAAGAGGAGGAGGAAGTGGAGGGAGTTATGGCTGGTTTGAGTGTGGTGGAAGCTGGGTGGTGGTGGGAGTGCGGCAGGTGGAAGGGAGAGAGGCAGGCGGGGAGGAAGGCTTGCAGGGCAAAGTCCCAGTGCGCGCCATTGATTAGACAGGTTACACATGACTCTATCAGAGCCTGTGCATGGGAGAGAGGGAAACATGGGGAGGGGGAGGAGAGGAGAGGTGGATGAGATGTGGATTGGGAAGGAGATTTTACAGCTCTTGACTACCTGGTTAGCAAGTGTTTGTGAGTTGGAAGGTTTGCAGGTGGATTGGGATCGCTGCATGGGAAGATATGCTGGTATCCTCTAATCAGCACCACAAACAAAGAGGTTGCGGAGACGAAAAGGCAAAGAACCAAACAAGGCGAAAGAAGGAGGAGGGTGAGGGGAAGGAGGAGGGTGAGGGGAAGGAGGAGGGTGAGGGGAAGGAGGAGGGTGAGGGGAAGGAGGAGGGTGAAGGGAAGGAGGAGGGTGATGGGAAGGAGGAGGGTGAGGGGAAGGAGGAGGGTGAGGGGAAGGAGGAGGGTGAGGGGAAGGAGGAGGGTGAGCGGAAGGAGGAGCAGCACCTGGAAGGACTCTGCAGGCGCGGACTGCTTTCCACACGCCTCCTCCTCCTCCCCTGCTGCCCCATGGCTGCTGTTCCTGTCAGACTGTGACTGGTACTGCTGCTGCTGCTGCTGCTGATGGTGATGGTGGTGTTGGAGCGATGGCAGCACGCATTGGCACATGAGTGCATGCAGGTGGGCCGCCTGTTGCTCTGTCCCAGCAACACGAGGATTAGGAGAGGAGATGTTCATATGTTGTACATATATATATATATATATATATACATATATACATACATATTCATGTACATGGAGAATCACACAAAGGAGGGGAGGAAATACAATCAAGGTGCATTATGAAAAGCGTTACTACACCCGAACCAGGGTACTTCTTCTGCCCCACTCCTTTCCCCCCGTCCTCTCCCACTCCTCAACCCCTCCAATCCCTCCCCGCGAGTTGCAATTACACAGTCTTTGCTCATAGTACCCCCCCGCTCTCGTATAAAATCTCCTCACCCCATCAAAACCCCCCGAATTCCCTCGCACTTCCCCGCATGTACCTGTTTCTCTCAACTAGATTCCGTCTTCCTCCAGACGTCCCTCTATTTCCCTCCTCACCTCCCTCCTCACCTCCCTCCTCACCTCCCTCCTAACCTCCCTCCTCACCTCCTTCCTCCCCTCCCTCCTCACCTCCCTCCTCCCCTCCCTCCTCACCTCCCTCCTCACCTCCCTCCTCCCCTCCCTCCTCACCTCCCTCCTCACCTCCCTCCTCACCTTGTGGCAGCCCCTGCAACATCTGGCATGCAACAAACGCCCGCGTCAGCCCCTTCCCGTCCTCCGCCGCACGCGACCCACCCGCCCTCTCGCGCAAATTCTCCTCCCCTCCATCCCCTATCTTAAACCCTGATTCCCGAGCATCTCTGGGCGTGGAAGTCTATAGTTGTGGTAACATGGAGAGGATGGGGGCATGGAAAAAGGGAAGTGGGATATGGGGAGAATGCGAGGGGTCTGTTGACGCGCACGAGAATGGCCGGTGCAAATCTGTGAGGGTTTTGCCAGGGTTGAAGGTATAACGTCTAAGCATTACGTGGAACGATAGATAGTCACCATTCTCGCACTGACTAACAACCCTAAAATCCGCGAAAGAATCGAAGTACTGAGAAACAGGCTCCACGTGTTGAGCTAACACACATGGTGTCACACATTCCCCACCTCGCCCAAAAGCGCGCACAGCAGCTGCTGCGGCTCGACTCCGCACGCCGCAATCACTGCGGCTGTGACGGCCGCCGCGAGCGAACGCGCTGCGGATGCCGTTGCGCCGTCGCCGCGAGACGAATTCCATAGTAAGCCCTGCAGCTGCTCTACCAGGCGATCTGCGCTTGCTCGTGCTGGTGCTGTTGCCGCTTCTGTGACAATGGCGGGAGCGGACATTACAAGAAAGATACGGCTTTCCGTCTATCTGGAATTGGTAGCAGTTGGCTCAAACACCGAAGGGAAGAGCCTCGCCTTTTCCTTCCGCTCGAGAGTAGTAAGTAGTTGACATTCTTGGTTGCATAAAAGAACAGCGCTATAATCAGGCATACATTTCAATTTGTAGTGAATGGTATTAGATACAGTGTATAAAAGTTGTGGACTAGTATACGTATGATTTCCAGCCATCTCGATTTGCTAGTTTCACGGGATAAATATGAGACTCTGTAGAGTCGTTTGAATAACAGATGTTTGTATCAGTTTTATCCAATGTTGCAGCACATAAGCAGTGCAGAGCCAATACCGTAAGCCACCGATGAACAGTAAATATGCAATACATTTTCCTCCTCCCTCCTATACATGCCCTCCAGCCCCTCCATCCCCTCCCTTTCCTCTTGCCTCTCCCTTTCCTCCCGCCTCTCCCTTTTCCTCTGTTACAATTTGGCCCCGTTGTCAGAAGTAGCAAGAGGGTGAGACTAGGAGCCATACTAGGATTTAGGCTGTTGAGATAATATCGAGACTTAAGCACTTCAAGGATATTCGTGTAGTACAGTAAAGTACCGATAGGCTGACGTCAGCAAAGCGCTACGCGCCATAGGATGACGTCAGCACGTAGCTATAGGCTTCGCGAAAAGATACGTACCGTTTCAGAACAAGAATAGTACAGTACAGTAGGCGAACAGGTACTTTACTCTAGCTATATATTTTGTATGTTTGTCAATTTATAATATATCTGATTTCAGAGACATTGATCCTGAAACATATCACATGGGCTTTTAAGTCCAGACAAAGCCTTCATAACTAGGCTTTAACTCATATAAGACTTCCGTTACGACAGGAAGCTACCATCCTAAGTAGTACGATCCTATTCAATCGCTTTAAATTCTAACATGGTATTGCGAGCGTCTTAGGATACTACAAGCTTCCAACTACATACTCTGCAACTATGTCTGGCTCTCCACGATCCAACAACGGCTCTTCTGTTACGAGCCCATCACGCCCCACAGCGTCTGCAGCTACTGACAATTCTCATATGCAGCAACAACATCAACAACAACAATATCAGCAACAACCGATGTACGGCATGCCACTGAGCAGTCAGCCCGTACACACAACTGCAGCAGCGGCATCATCGACAGCAGCCGCAGCAACAGCAGCATCAGCAGCCACAACAGCTGCAGCTGCAGTCACTGGTTCTTCTAGTCAACCAGGACAACAGTCCAGTTTCGTACCAACTGGACCTTATCAATATCAAGGTGCTTACCAGCCAACAAATCTTCAACAGCGTGTCAATGATGCCGTCTTTGTCAGAATGTTATGTTTTGTCTAGCCTGCAGTGGGGTACTCAATAGTGAGTACAGCCCAATTTAGGGTTTGGTATATGTACTCAACTGCTTGCTAGTGAAACCCCCTCTTTCTCATTTCTAACTTCCTTTGGTTTCTAACAGTCTTGTCTCTTAACCAAATGTTTCCAACTCCTATGAGTCTTGATGGCTCCAGTTATCAGCATGGACAGATGCCACAGGGAAGTGACGGGTCGAATAACTCCTTCTCCTTCGTTCCTGCTGGACAAGGACAACAAGCACCACAAGGTGCTGTCGTTAAAAGGTACTGTCGTTAAAAGGTACTATCGTTCTAATTTTTGTTGGGTTCCTGCTGGACAAGGACAACAAACCCAACAAAAATTAGAACGACAGTACCTTTTAACGGTCAAGACTTCTATACCTGGAGCTTTGAATTTGAGCTTCTTGTTCAGACCGCGGGGTTCTGGCAGTTGTTCAACGGCACAGCACCCTTTCCATCACACGGGTCACCACTTCAACAGGCCACTTTTCGATCGGCGTCGCTGACTGCATACACAGTTCTCGTTCGTAACCTGACACCGACTGAACAGCTCGGAATTCGTTCTTTTCGTACCAGTGCCGCTCCCGCTGAAGCAGCTTGGTTATACCTGCAAGGGGTTCACATGGCAAAGGACACTGTCAACCAGAGTAAAATTTTAACGCAGCTGTCAAATATACAGATGTTAAACGGCGAGAAGGTGACGCAGTGTATCAACCGCGCTCGAAATCTGCGTGATCAACTTCAGAAGTGTGGAGGGTACTTCCCCGACGCTATGTTTCACACGGTGCTACTCGTGGGTCTTGGACCAGAATGGCGACAGTGTCGCTCTATTCTTCGGATGCAAGCACAATTGTCCGAGGGGGCACTCTGTGCCGCTCTCATCGCTGAGCAACAGGATATGGACCTGCACAACACTCGAGGAGGGAAAAAGGTGGTAAACAACACAGTCAGTTTTTACTCTAATCCACGTCACAAATCCGTTTGTTCCTTTTGTCGCAAAGCAGGACATACTATTGATACCTGCTGGTCGAAAGATAAACCATCTTGGAAGCGGACTACATCGAAACATCCCAAAGATTCTTCAGGTGAAGCTGAGAAGCAGGAAGCTGAGAAGCCGGAAGCCGCGAAGCAGAATACTGCGAAGCCGAACTCTGCGAAGCCGTCTACTACACCTGTCAAGACACAAATAAAAGAGGTTATTAATTGTATGACGTCAGTTTCTACCACCTACGATCCTGACGCTGAGGACCGTATTCACAATAACTTCAATGATGAACTCAATACGCCCATACTGTCAAATGTATATGCCTTAGCCTATATAGGCTGTAGTGGGGTAGTTCCTAGAGGGTACAACACTTTTGTGTTCTCTATTTGTACCCACCTCATTTCTAGTTCAATCATTCCTGTTTAATTCTTCACATGGTATAGAGCGGGTTCCCTCATAGGACCGTTCCTTCCTAAGGGCCCACCATAAGCAATTTTTTTTAGCTGCCCGAAGCGCGTCTCGCGCCCTGCCCTAATTTTTTTTTTTGGCGGCCCCCTAGCGGCCCCTAACGGCCCCTACGCGGCCCCTACGCGATCCCTACGCCGCCCCTAAACGGCCCCGTCGCGGCCCTGTACCTGACGCGGCCCCGTCCCTGACGCGGCCTCGCCCCTACCCGGCCCCTACGCGGCCCCTACGCGGCCCTTACGCGGCCCCTACCCGGCCCCTACGCGGCCCCTACGCGGCCCCTACGCGGCCCCTACGCGGCCCCTACCCGGCCCCTACGCGGCCCCTACGCGGCCCCTACCCGGCCCCTACGCGGCCCCCTGCGCGGCCCCCTACGCGGCCCCTCAGCGGCCCCTACGCCGCCCCTACACGGCCTGACCCGGCCCCGTCCCTGACGCGGCCCCTACGCGGCCCCTACGCCGCCCCTACGCGGCTCCTACGCGGCCCCTAAACGGCCCGACCCGGCCCCGTACCTGACGCGGCCCCTACGCCGCCCCTAAAAGGCCCCGTCCCGGCCCTACCCCGGCCCCGTCTCGGCCCCGTCCCGGACCTGCCCCGGCCTCGACTCCGTCCCGGACCTGCCTTGGCCCCGACCCCGTCCCGGACCTGCCCCGGCCCCGACCCTGTCCCGGCCCTACCTCGGCCCCGTCCCGGACCTGCCCCCGCCCCGACCCCGTCCCGGACCTGCCCCGGCCCCGACCCTGTCCCGGCCCCGTTGCTGCCCCGTCCCGGACCCTGCTCGGCCCCGACCCTGTCCCGGACCTGCCCCGGCCCTGACCCTGTCCCGGCCCCGTTGCTGCCCCGTCCCGGACCCTGCTCGGCCCCGACCCTGTCCCGGCCCTGTCACGGCCCCGACCCAGTCCCGGACCTGTCGGCTCCGCCCCTGGTAAGAGCCTAGCCGGGCCGAGCCGCGCGGCCGAGCCGCACTGCTTTGCCGAGTCGCCCTGCCGAGTCGCACTGTCCTGCCTCACTCAGTTGCACTGCTGCCGCTGCTAGTCTGCTGCTGCTCCTATCATGGCTAGTCCTAGTCTTCTCACCTTTGATGCTGAGGGTCGAGCGGTTGACTTTGATGTCTGGCTAGATGATCTGCAGCTTCTCCTTCAGTGCGATAGCAAGGATGGTCTCTCCCTGTTTGATCTTACGTCGGGCGCCTCTACTGCCCCTGCTGCTGATGCTGACAGTACCGTTCGCTCGCAGTGGCTCACGCGCGATGCTGCTGCCCGCCTTGTTGTGCGTAGTCACCTACCGTCTACTGAGCGCGCGCACTTTAGTCAGTACAAGAGTGCTAAGACTCTGTACGACGCAGTAGTTGCACGTTACTCTTCCCCTGCCACTGCTGCGCTTAGCCGCCTCATGCTCCCGTACCTGTTCCCTGACCTCGCTGCTTTTGCCACAGTCACTGACCTCATTACGCACCTCCGCACTAGTGACACTCGCTACCGCGCTGCGCTTCCTGCTGAGTTCTGCGCCCAGAACCCCCCCCCCATGTACATCACCCTCTACTACCTAGTCACTCGACTCCCTGACACTCTCCGCTCGGTCCGGGATCACTTCCTCTCTCTTTGCCCTACCACCCTCACTGTCGACCTCCTCGAGGAGCGCCTCCTTGCAGCAGAGACTAGTATCACCGCTGTAGGCGCCTCTCGTGGTGACCCCCGTACCCCTTTCTTTGAGGGGTGCTCCCCCGTTCCTCTTTTGCCCTCTGTTGCCTCTGCTGCTGCTGTCGACCTTGTTGGCACCGAGTCGGTCAGCGCTGCGTCTGCTCCTAGTGAGAGGCGCCGCATCAGCAAGGGCAAGCGGGGCAAGGGAGCTGGAGGAGGTGGTGGGGGCGGCGGTAGTGGCGGTGGAGGCGGAGGAGGGGGTGGGGGTGGAGGTGGTGGTAGAGGTGGGGGCTTCAGTGGCGGCGGTGGAGGTGGAGGAGGCGGTGGCGGTGGCGGGAGGGGTGGAGGAGGCAGAGACGGCGGCGGCGGAGGTGGAGCTGGCAGAGGCGGAGCTGTGCAGCGGGGACCCCAGCAGCAGCAGCGCTCTCGTGAGACCCC